GGTGCCAAATTTCACTTCTTAATCTTTCATCTATACCACAGGGAGTTAGGAAAGAAAATTTTCTTGTAGACACCAAGGAAGTACAGATATAAAACTCTTGTGGCCCGTGTTTTGCAGCTCCAAAGCCTGTTGTGTATTTGCAGCATGGTTTAGTTGCATCTGCCGGGAATTGGATTTGCAACCTGCCCAACAACAGCTTGGCTTTCCTTCTGGCAGATGTTGGGTATGATGTATGGATGGGGAACAGCCGGGGAAATACCTGGTCCAGAAAACACTTGCAATTTTCACCCAAATCACCAGAATACTGGGCCTTCAGGTAAGGAGAATACTACTAATGAAAACAGTGTGTACTTTGCTTTATATGGATGAACACCCTTTGAATTTTCCCTTTCTGTCCAAATGCACACCATGGAATCCACAAGAAGGAAATAAACATTTCTTCCTCTGCCCAGGTTTTCTTTGCAATCTCAAAAAAATGCCGTATTATTGCACTGATATTTGTTTTAAGCACTCCACTTGGTATGTGTGTATATAAAGTACATATGCAAGAAAAAAATCAAAATGCAGAAGTCAGCTTTAGCAAGGTTAATTCTAGGACTATCACATCAATGTGGACCCCAAAGGAAATTTATGTGGTACCCTTAATAAGAGGAAAAAAGAAATTGATCAAGAAAAGGGACCGAAGAGGGAAGGTATAACTCCTGGGTTCAATCCCCAGTGCCTCCATTAAAATAAATAAATAAACCTAATTACTATCCCCCAACACAACATCAAAACAAAACAAAAACTCAAAAAGTAATTTTAAAAAATTTAAAAAGAAAGAAAGGAAAGAAAAGGGACCAAAAACAAGGTTCTGTTTGAAAATCCTGAGAACCAGAAATTCATGATAAACCAAGATGAGCCACACCCTAGCACAGAGGGTGCTCAAATGTTTATTCACTGAGTAGTGAAGAAACGTTGCCCTCAATAGGCTGATGCTGCTGAAATCTATCCCGGGAGCCAAGTTGTCAGCAGCACCCACTGGGGGGCGCTGTCTGCCTTAGAATGTAGGCCAGCTGGGTCACAGAAGCAAATCCTGCACTTGTGGCAGTGCCCAGAATCATGCCTTGAAGGTCACTAAAGCTTCTTGCCCCTTGGCCTCACTCCTGCTTTATTCCTGGACATTTGGCATTTTCTAATTCCACACCCCAGTGCAGTTGTGTCATGGCACCATTGAAAGTAACGTAATGATTTCCTACATTTTCGCACACACAAAGGAAAGCAGCACCTGAGGTCTTTGATAAATATGCAGATTACTAGGCCTCTTCCCTGGAAATTCTGATTCAGTCTATCCAGGCTGAGGTCTGCAAATCTCCTTGCTTTTTTTCTGGTTTTTAAATAAGCATTCCAGGTGATTTTTCTTTTCAAGGGAGTTTGATATATCTGCTATAGAAATAAGTGGAAAGCCTCTGCAGGCTTTTGCAAGTCATCTTCTGATTTCAGTTTCTTAACCATGTTACTCTTGCAAACAAGGTGACATCCTCAAAATTTGCACAGGTGCATAATATCATGTATTGATCTAGTCTTACAGTTAAGAAAAGCTAAGTATCTATGTCTATAATGAATATGTTTAAATATTGCAGACCTACCAATGAGATTTTTTTCCCCAACATTGTTGCTCTTTTTCTTTGGCAGTTTGGATGAGATGGCTAAATATGACCTTCCAGCCACAATCAATTTTATCGTAGAGAAAACTGGACAGGAGCAACTCTACTATGTGGGCCACTCCCAAGGCACCACCATCGGTGTGTGTGGAGCAAGTGTAATATGAGTGTCAAGGGATCTTCATATTTATGAAAGGGGACAGGATTTCTTCCCTTTGTACAGTCTCTAGCTTGGGGCTTTGAGTTGGGAAACCATTTTGTCTGACTGGCTTCTAAAGAGTAAATAAAGTGACGGTAACTTAGAAATTCCCTCCGCCCCAGACTAAATTTGGAGATTGATGGATAAGCCTGAAAAAGAGACTACTTATTTATTCATTTGTGTACCCAACAAGCATTTGCCAGACACTGGGTTAAATGCTGGGGAGAGAGAGAGAAATGTAGTACACATCTTTCCCTTAAAGAGCTCACAAACTAGTGAGGGACCCTGAAAAGAAAGCAGAGAATTACAAATCTCAGTGATTATGTGCATAGTCAGTATGACTTCTAGATCCCAGTGGGTGCTAGAGTAGTCGTAGAAGTGGACGGGGCCACGCTGGCAGTGCCATAAGGCACTTCACTCTCTTCACTGCGCCCCCTTCAGCTAGAGACTTGACAATACCAACAGCATTTATACCAATCTTTTTTCTGTCTTAACCCTAATTTGGTTTCTGGTATAAAGTAAGTCTCTATATGCCTGTACTATACTATGCATCTTACACGCATTCTCTCATTGGAAACCACAAACATTTGAGAACATTATCATCCATATTATACAGATGGCTGAACTTAGGAATTCTTTCTAATGGTGATAATGCCATTAGAAAGCCATATATGCATACACATATGGAATCTAACCTTCAAAAGAATTATTCCATAAGGATTCTATTCTCCATGCCTACAGAAAGAGAAAACTGAGACTCATATAGGGGAGGTAACTTGCCTAAGTTTTCACACAGCTAGCAAATGGGGAGTAAGATTATAACCCAGTTTTGTTTGATACTGAAGACTATGATCAAGCTAGAATGACCATTGGAGTTTACCTAGACATGCCCCACAGAGGACATTTGAACCCTTTCTGTAAGATTCTCTGTAAGTAGATTTATACTCTTCAGGGTCAGGAAACTCACTTCATTTTGAATTAGCCAATTCCACCTTTGACAATTTAAAAATACTTCCCTAAAAATGGTACTTACTCTGAATTTGTTTTATTTTGTTTTTAATATAACTACTTCCACTATAATTTAAGAGGAATTAACAATTATTTTAAATCTATGAACTAGTATCTTCTTCTCTTTCAGCATTCATAGCATTCTCTACTAATCCAGAACTGGCTAAAAGGATTAAGATATTTTTTGCTTTGGCTCCAGTCACCACAGTGAAATACACCCAAAGTCCTATGAGAAAATTATCATCTCTTTCCAGAAAAGTAGTCAAGGTATGTGACAACTTTTCCCCAAGTTTAAATCTTTAGTAACACTGAAAAGACTCATCACAAACAAGGAAACCCCAATAGGTCTATCAGCAGTTTTCATGGCAGAAATGTTGCAGACCAGGAGAGAATGGGATGATATATTTAAAGTGCTCAAAGAAAAACACTGCAAATCAAAAATACTTTATCCAGCAAAATTGTCCTTCAGAAATGAAGGAGAGAAGCTTTCCCTTTTTTCTGTCTTAATCCTAATTTGGTTTCTGGTACAAAGTACTATGCTATGCATTTTACATGCATTCTCTCATTGGAAACTACAGATATTTGAGATCATTAGTCAAGCATATTATACAAATGGCTGAACTTAGGAATTCTTTCTAATGGTGATAATACCATTAGAAAGTTATTCATGTATATATGTGTGTGTGTATGTATAAAATAATCTAAACTTCAAAATAATTATTCTATAAGGATTCTATACAGAAATGGTAAGGGAGTTTTTCAAGCTGAAATAAAAGTATGTCAATTAGTAACATGAAAACATAAAATTAACTGGTAAAGGTAAATACATAGTCAAAATCAAAATACTCTAATACAGCAATGGTTGTGTGCAAATCACTTTGAAAGCTATCTTGTAAGTAAAAGTGTTAAAAACAATCATTGCTATAATACTTTGTAAATGCATATGCAATATAAAATATGTAAATTGTGATACCAACAACATAATGTGTTCGGGGCAAGTAAATGTATAAAACAATTTTATGCAATTGAAGTTAAGGTGTCAGTTTATTTTAAAAAAATTTTTATTGAAGTATAGTTGGTTTATAATGTTAGTTTCAGGTTACTGCAAATCAATTCAGTTATACATATACATATGCATATACACATATATATATATGTACATACATATATTTTCAGATTCTTTTCCATATAGCTTATTACAAGAGATTGAATATAGTTCACTGTGCAATACAGGAGGTTCTTGTTTATCTATTTTATATACAGTAGTGTGTGTCTGTTAATCCCAAACTCCTAATTTATCTCTCCCCACCTTTCTCCCTTGGTAACCAAAGTTTTGTTTTCTGTGTCTCTGAATCTATTTCTGGTTTGTAAATAAAATTTGTAGCTGGCTGTGTGGTCTGAGATATTGCAAAGCTGGTATTGACCTGCTAATGAGTGGACTGGATATTGTGGCAGCTGGCTGAGGGATCCAAGGCATCCTGGAGCTGGTACTGACCTGCCATTGGACAGGGCTGGGACACAGGGTCCCGGGGCTGGTGACGGCCTGCCAGCCTGCTGGTGGGTGGACTGGGTCCTGGTTCAGGAAGCTACAGGACTGTGGTGGTCCTGCAGCCATCTGCCCGCTGATGTGTGGGACCAGGCCTCAGGGTCTCTGGCTGCAGGTCTCTGGGGGGTCCTAGCATTGATGTTTCTGCCCACTGGAGGATAGAGACAAGTCCCAGCATCTCTGGATGTAGGGTCCTGGGGATCTAGGAGCTAGTGCTGGCACACTGGTGTGCAGGGCCGGGGCCTGGGCCCTCTGGTGGACTGGGTTGGGTCCCAGGGCAGCTCAGGGGATCTTAGGCAGTAGGCTTGCTGGTGGAAAGGGCTGTGTCCTTGTGCTAATAAGCTGAAGGGAGGATTCTCCGATGGCACTTGCCAACACCAGTGTCCACTTCATAGAATGAGCTCCGAGAAACGGCAGCTGCCAGTGTCTGTGTCCCCCGGGTTAGCTCAAGTTGCCTACTGCTTCTTCTGAAGGCTCTCCAAGATCATCAGGTGACTCTGACCCAGGCTCCTTTCAAACTACTGCTTCCACCTCAGGTCCTGGAATGTGTGAGATTTTCTATGTGCCCTTTAAGAGTGGGGTCTCTATTTCCCACAGCTCTCTGTCTCTCTGAAAATTAAGCCCCATTGGCCTTCAAAGCCAAATGTTCTGAGAACTCATCTTCCTAGTGCAGGATCCCCAGGCTGGGGAGCCCAATGTGGGGATCAGTCCACTCATCTCTTGGGGAGAATTTCTGCAATGGTAATTATCCTCCCATTTATGGGTCACCCATCGGGGGTATGGGTCTTGACTCTGCTGTGTCTCTGCCCTCCTACCTGTTTCGTTGTGGTTCCTTTTTTTTTTTTTATTATTGTATTATTTACTTTATTTGGGGGGGTAATTGGACATTACTTTTAGAAGAGGGACTGGGGACTGAACCCAGGGCCTCCTGCATGCTAAGCATGCGCTCTACCACTTGAGCTATACCCTCCCCCCCCCGGTTCCTTCTTTATATTTTTAGCTGCAGATCGTTGCTGCTGGTCTTCCAGTTTTTCTCATCAATAGTTGCTCTGTCCTTCTACTCCACCACCTTGGCCACTCCCCTGTGTACTAAGTGCCTTTTAAATGTGACCTGTTATCTTCACAATAGTCCTACTTAGTGCATGGTAATTTTCTGTTTTATAGTTGAGAAAATTCAGGATAATAGAAATCAAAGACTTTCCTGAAGTATGAGAGACGAAGTCCAGAATCAAACCAAGGTACCGCTGACTCCAAAGCCTTACCAATTTCCTGTGGGGACTAGTTTCTCAGAGGACATTCCAAAGAACACTCCAAGTAAAAGATCCTGGGAATAGGCATCAAAGGTGGGCTGGGAGAAAGACAAAGTTTAATAGGCCTCTTGGATTCACTGAAGGCTGGTACTGAGCAGGTATCATCTGTGTTCAGTCCTTGTCTCAATTACCACTCGTTCTCCACTCAGCAGTCACAGCCATGAAAGTTGATGGTGTCTTAAATTGATCTTGCAGGTATTATTTGGTGACAAGATGTTCTCTCCTCACACATTTTTCGGGCAATTCATTGCCACCAAGGTGTGCAACAGGAAGATATTTCATCGTATTTGCAGCAACTTCTTATTTACTTTGAGTGGATTTGATCCAAAGAACTTAAACATGGTATGTGTACTTAGTCATATTACTACTGAGTCTGATCCAGGGAAGCAGCTGTTTTGTTGCACAGGGGTAAGGAGAGTTCATTCTGAATTGCCTGGGAACCGCATTTCAGAGGCTCCTTTTTGTCTCCTGGAATGTGACTAGTACGTTCCTGGCTTCCAGCCAAAGCTGAGTGTCCACATACTTTACTAGGAGGATTTGAAAAGAAGGTTTTGCTGCTGAAAATTCTCACCAATTCTTTTTGTTGGCCAAAATGCCACCACTGAAAAGCCCTTCACTTAGATTAGGGCTGTGGTTTTGAAATTTATCTTGCTGTGCCTGAGCCCTACCTCAGACCTCACAAAGTAGAATTTCAGGAAGTGAGCCCAGACATCTATTTTTTAACCAATTTCCTACTTTCACAAGTGATTTGGAAATAGTCATTTTGTGAACCACTTGCTTCTTTAACCAAAGGGGTAAGGGAACGACTCTTCAATGGTAGCTACAGACTTACTGTTCAAGGGACACTGAGAGAGATAAGTGTTGGGGTTCTTATTGAGTTCTTTCCAACTTATCTGAGACCCTTCCCTTTCTTAGTAACCGCTAGCTGAATGCTTGAAACCAGAAGTGGGAAAAAGCTGAATACAGTGTCCGTCTGTCTCACAGACTTCTGCCCAAAGCCTCATCTCTCTCTGTGAACAGTGTTCATTAACACTTGGTTTGATTTCAAGCAACATTTATAAAAAGGCTGTTTATGCAAACATGCCTTAGCCACTGCCTTTTCACATTATTTTCTTAATTTCTCAATTTACCAGGGAAATCCAGCTTGCCTATCACTTAGATGGAAGCAAATCATGTAAGCAGGGCTAAGTAAAAAGACCTTTAAGCAAACTCAATAGAGACAATTTCAAAAACGCCCTCTCAACATGGTCTAAGAGTTTGTCAAAGGAAGACTTTACAAAATGAGACCCTAGAACATTCACTAGAGGCCTTCATTGTACATCTGTACAGTCAGGCTGCCTTTTTTCCTCACTGCTGGGGACTGGATTACGGAATATTACAGTGCCTACAAGGATATATATTTTAGTGGAGTATAACCAGGGATACATATGTAGCATTTGTGGAACTTTGAAAAAATATACATGTCCAGAACTCGACCCTAGAGATTTTGATATTACTGCATAGATTCAGGTAACTCATAAGCAGCTGTACTTTTTTAAAGCTCCAAGATGCTTCTGATACTCATACTAATGGAAAATCATTCTTTTGTATATTAAAGAAAATAAAATGCTATTAACATTTTTTTAAAACCAAGATTTTTTTTTGATCCAAAAGAAATCTAAATGTTAATAGAGCTTTATATACTGAATGGATTATGTCCCACAAACTTTCAAAGAGCCCTGTAGAATACTTACCACATTAAAAACAAACCAGAAAGCGAAAGGGAATATTAGGTCTGATCTCAGTGTTTTCTGATGAACAACTTTCTCGGAATGCCCCTTAGGACTTTGCACAGTCCTTAAATGAAGGACAGGCTCCCGGGGCTCTTCTCTCTTGACTGCATGTATCCTGGAACCTGTCTGAGGTGAGGCTGGAAAGAAAAGGTGCATTACCTTCTGTCTTTGATAAGCAGGATACCCTCTGCGGGCTTTATGAAGAAACTGCCCAGGACAGAATAGAGGTGAGGGAGGGCAAAGCTCTTAAACTGGGTTTCTTTCGTCGCTATGTCTTCAGAGGGTAAGGTGCGTGTTGATTCCGTCAAAGAGAAAGAGAGAAAATACTCAGATTCACTCGTTGTGTGATTAGAGGACTAGCCTCCAGGTAAGAAATGACCTTTTTACTTTGCAGAGTCGCTTGGATGTTTATTTATCACAGAGCCCTGCAGGGACATCTGTTCAGAACATGCTGCACTGGGCCCAGGTACGTGCTCCCTATTGCTGACCTGACACACGCGTGTCTCTGCGAGAGCCCCGAGGAGTACTCCCAGCGAGCTCGCTGCGGGCTTCTGCAGCTTCTGCCGCTCTCAGGTCCACGTTTCCGGAATCAGCATCAACACATGCTGATGGCCTTTACTCTTTGTCATTCTCCGTGTCCTCAGTGCCTGGTGTTTGGGTTCCCGGATATTCTGACTGAAATCTGACCCTTACTTTACTCCATACTGCCTTTTCTAGGGAAAGGCTGCATCTTCTTTTTGGGGACATCATTAACTCTAATAGAACTTTATATAACATGATACATGTTACTCCAAAAAGATCTATTCATCCTCCAACAGGGGTATGGGCCATTTCAGAGCATGGAAATAATGCTTTATTCAGAGAAAATTAAATGTTTGAGAGGAATTTAAAAAGATTAAGGATTTCTGCTTGTACTCTAAGTTTTTCATATTACTATGTTACTCAATATTTGACAAACTCAGAGATAAATCAGATTCAGTTGGTATAGCTTTCTGAACCAAGTATGTATGAGTGTGTGTGTGTGTGTGTGTCTGTGTGTGTGTGTCTGTGTGTCTGTGTGTGTGTGTAGGGAGAGAAAAAGAGAGAGAAGATCTTTGCAAAGTCTTAATATTTAATTAAATATCTTAATTTTTAAAGACTTTTAAAAATTTAATAGGGATTAAAGATTCCTAAGAATTTGCACTTTTACCTACACCCTAATAAATTTGTTCCATGCTTTAAAGTTGAGAATCACTGCTATAGATAGTCTGAGATACTAGCTGAGGATTTCTAAAATTCTTTGAAGAGTTCCACCTTCAAGAAATAAGCCTCCAATTTCCAATAGGAAGACAGATATTCTGGACATAGGGCCTCCTCCTGGTGAGGAGACAGGGAGACTCTCTGAAGGCAGTGGCCTTCCAAGTAATACAACTTCAGTTTCACATTTATGTGCACTTACTATGTATTCTTCTTCTTGTTCAAATATATGATTGCATTCAGTCTCATTGAATTCTCATAACAATCTTTCAATGAAGACAGTGATATTCCCCATTCTACAAACGTCATAGCCAATCCCTTACACATCTGACTTCTTAAAGAGAAGTCTTCTCCGTTGACAGAAGATTTTTTCAGAGTAGGAATAAGGTAGGGGAGGAGATAAAATATTTGGTCATAAGTTATATAGACAGCTCGGGAAAGGATGATGATGATAGATGGTGATGACAATAATATTAGTAAAAAAGAGCGATTTCTGGACCATTCCTCAGTCTATAAGCCTTTTATGTATTATCCAGTTTAGTCTTCACACCCTTATGATAAGAATGCTACTGTTGTTTCCATTTCACAGATGAAATAACAGGTATAGAGAAGATAAATATCTTGCCCTGAATCACAGATTTAATAATTCATTAAGCCTGTCCTCAAACCAGGCCCATTTGATGCTAAAACCCAAGTCCCTGACCGTATTGCCTCTCATGGCTGAAGACCTGCAGAATTTCAACAGCAGCAGACTTCAGTTGCCTCTGTCAACATAAATCACAGTGGGAACCCTTTTAAACTAAACACCATGATGAAATCAGTGAATGTGGGGTGAGGGGGAATGTGAGATTCGAGTTAAGGGAAAAAACCCTTGGAGTAGTCTAAGAATAATTTAATGAAGTTCTTGAAGTAAATGTAAAAATTATCTGTCTCCTCAATCTAACATAGGTGGCAAATAACAGGAAATGGAACCTTTAGAGGTATGAATGTTTCTATTCTAATATCTTAAGTCTAAAACTCTACTGACAATATGGCAGCTGCTGGGTCCTACAGACAGGAGACAGAGAGACAGACACTACATCTCAGGAAGCCCTGAGGGTGTACTTTAAGTGAACATTCCTTTTGAAAGTAACAAAAAAAAGTTTATGAACAGGGAATATAGTCATAATATCCTAGACCATCTGACAAGGATAATAAGGTATAAAATTGTTTAATAATAATAGCAGTCATTTATTTAATGTGGAGACGTCTAGCTGGGGCCATTTAAAAGTATATATATAAAAAAATTCCTAACGTCAAGATATTCCAGAATCATTCAATTGAGCATCCTTTAAAAAAATTGGAAAAGTAAAGAAGAGAATAAAAGATTGTCAGTCAGTTCCGTGAATCAGTATCAATTTGTATCATTTCAATTATTTGACTTATTAAACTTTATTGACTTACAGCACATGTGCTAAAGGATAGGGCATAATGTCAGTCCTCTGTATATTTTTTGCTTACTGTCTTTAAATGTACATTGTTTTCTTATATCATTTTGATGTGTTTATTATTTTCATTTTACTATAGGCTGTTAATTCTGGTCTGTTCCAAGCTTTCAACTGGGGAAATCCTGATCAGAACATGATGCACTTCCATCAGGTACAATAATAACAATCCTGCAAATGAACTAAAAAAAAAATAGCACCTACTCATTAAGCACCTATGAGGCCCCACTCACTGTGCCAGATATTTTGTATAGATCTGATGCTACTTATTGGGTTCTTCCCATGTGCCACATCATTATTTTTGATACTCAGAATGACCTTGCAAGGTAAATATTATTGTCTCTATTTTTCCAGTGGCTCAGAGAGGTTAGGTAAATTGTTAAAATTATTTAGCTAATGAAAAACCAAAATACGACCTAGGGGTTCCTGGATCTAAAGTCCATTCTTCCACTGCACTTAATCCTTCTCAAAAATAAAAACACTTAGCACTTAATTAAGACCATGTTTTAAAGAAAGAATTAAAGATGCACAATTTTGTTTCTAAAACATATTCTCTGGCTTCTTACCCATCCTTCATAAAATGAACTAAGACTATCCTAAGAAGTTTTTTGGGGAGGAATGTCATTTACTACTCATTTAAAAAAATAATATATGAATTATTAAAGATATTCCAGACAGGAATATCACTGTTAGGGAGAAGCAGTGCTATCTGCCAGACAACGGTATGTCAGTTTATTTCTTGACATTGTGTATGAGAACTTCTGGAGCAAAAACTCTGTATTAAAGTGAATAGGCACTGTTGTTACTTTTTTCCAGTATGTCAGGAAATCCAGTGATGGCTTTAGCGTCTTGGTGATAGGCTAAACTCAAATTAAACACGTAGTTACCAAAGATACATGGGTTTTTCAAATCAGGGATGTGGAAAACTCGAAATTATTTAAAAAGGAGTTTGAGTGCCACCATAACTACGATAGTGAAAATGTGTAACTTCAACTAGCATGAAAAGTCTAATTTTTCTCCTAAATTGCTACAGTCATGTGTGTGTGGGGAAATGTGGGCCCACACACACGGACTCCCATGCCATGTCAAAGTCCTGTTTACTGTTGTAATTAATCCATTCCTCGTCCTCGCAAGAGTATATAGTTGCTTCGGGAAAAGCTTTTTAGATGATGACCTTCCCCTGTGAGATTCAAACACCTCCTTGGGTGAGAGTTGAATCGCAGGTATTAATTTTGTCATTGTGCTTGCAGATTCTATAAAAATATGTGGTGATTCAGGTTCAACTAGCAATCTTTTGCTTGGAACTTCAGGGAAAAAAAGACAGAGGGTGAATAATATACACATTTAAGAAATCAATAATCTTTGTCACAGCTATGAGTAATAATAACACCATAAATTAAGCAGGTATAATTATCAATATAAGCACCAACCCTTTATTACTAATAAAGTAAAAACATAAATTGGGACCCAAACCTAATGACCTCATTTAACCTTAATTACCTCCTAAAAGCCTTGTCTCCAAATACAATCACATTGAGGGTAAGAGTTTCAACGTACGGATTTCGGAGGAACACAAGTCAGTCCATAGAGTATTGTAGTAGTCAGGACTCTTTCAGTAGCTAGTAGAAGAAACCAACTTTATTTTAAATTTTAAAAATATGTATATGGTTTAGTTTTACTGAACTAAATGTTATAGTGGTAAACTCACAAGAGCCAGGAACTTATATACTGCCATCAGGCGCGCGCTCTCTCTCTCTCCTCAATTCTGCTTGCAAATGCTGTTTCCATTCTTAGGCTATTTCCAAGATAGGCAGTAGGATGGTGACTAGATGCTCTTAGCTCATGTAGCTTTTTAAAACTGCAAACCCAAATAAAAAGCTAATATTTCCTCAATAGCTCTGGCAAAAAGTTCTGGAGCTGGGGGATTGGGATTTGCTGAATCAGCACAAGAAACGTTGTGTTACCAGAAAGGAGAAGGAAGGGGAGCTTGCCAGGAGATTCGCATCACCACGGGCACTCTATTTCTCTGTACCAGGCTGCCTCCTTTTCAGCATTATTTTTCAAATGTCTTTTTTGGCACATTGGTCTCAATCCTCCCTAAAAAGTCTGCTCAAGTGTTAATAATTCTTCTGAGCCCAGATTTCTGCATAAGAGAAGGGGTTTTTACATTTATTCTACCCAAAATTTTGTTTGAAAAGGATGCACTCCCAATCCAAGTGCTACTAGAAAGATGGCCCCCATAGAAATAAGAGCCCCCTTCATCTAGGATCCTTTTCTGTTTTCCCAAAAGTGAAAATCGGGAGTACAATGGTTGTCTTTTTAATCCACAATTCGTATTATTGCACAAATGTGCTTTCAAGTACTTTTTAATATTTTAATGTTTATAGTTCATTAAACGTGTCCTCACTGCACATTTCTAGCATTTGAAGAACTTTCTTAACAACTGATAGTTACCATTATTTCTGTAATGTGGTTTTCTGTATAAACTACTTCTCTCTCTCTCTTTCATTTTATTTAGCTTACACCTCCCCTATACAATGTTTCGAAGATGGAAGTTCCAACAGCAGTGTGGAGTGGTGGACAGGACGCTGTTGCTGACCTCAAAGATGTTGAGAATTTACTCCCTAAAATTACCAGGCTTATTTATTACAAGTTGATTCCACACTACAATCATGTGGATTTTTACCTTGGACAGGATGCACCCCATGAAATTTACCAAGACCTAATTAGATTGATGGGGGAATGTTTGCCAAATTAAATACACTTTCCTTTCTCCGAGCGAGCAAGCTTTTGTAATGAGGAATGTGGTGCACAGAACCTAAGGAGACCCCTCCAATAATTTTCACCTCCTAATGTCCAAAAATTTGTGTAATCCTCTCCCCTTGAATGTGGGAGTTACCTGAGACTTGCTTCTAGACAAGAGAATTGGCAAATGTGACGGGATGTCATACCCTTGGTTAGACTATGTTGGTAACAAAGGTGATAGAATGTTAATCCCTGATTACATTCTATTATATAAGAATCCATCTCAGCAGACTGAAGCAAGAGATTGTCCTTGTTGGCTTGATGAAGTAGACAGATATGTTGAGAAGGCCCACGTGGGAAGGAACTGTATGTGGGTTCTAGGATCTGTAGGTGGCCTCCAGCTGATAACCTGCAAATAACTGGGACTCTCAGTCTTACACTTACGAGAAAACGAATTCTGCCTAAAACTTGAATGAGCTTGGAAGTCCATTCTTTCCTAGTAAAGTTTCCAGTTGAGAAAGCATCCTGTCCAACACGTGGGCTGCAGCCTGGAGAGACCCTGAGCAGAGAACTAGCTATGCCATGCCTGGACTACTGACCCACGGGAACAGTGAGAGAATAAATATATATTATTTTAAACCACTAAGCTTGTGGTAATTTGTTGTCGGCAATGGTAAACTGCTACTACTATTATTAATAGTGAATTATTATTATTATTATCATGATTATTATTTTGTCTCTGGTTAGAAGCTTGAAAACTCCTGTTTTTTTTTTAATTTTTAATTTTTATACAATTTTTACAGGTTACACTCTGAGGAGACAGAGCTAAAAAAATATTGCTAAGAAATATGTCAAAGAGTATATTGTTTATGTTTTCTTTCTAGGAGTTTTATGGTTTCAGGTCTTACACATTAAGTCCTTAATCTGTTTTAAATTTATCTTTGCATGTCGTATAAGAAAGTAGTCCAGTATGATTCTTTTGCATATAGCTGTCCAGTTCTCCCATTCAACAGGCTATTTTCACCCCCATTTTACATTCTTAGCTTCTTTTTTGTAGATCAATTGGCCATATAAGTGTGGGTTAATTTCTGGGCTCTCTATTTTGTCCTAGTGATCTGTGTGTTTGTTTTTGTGTCAGTACCATACTGTTTGATTACTGTAGCTTTATAGTATAGTTTGAAATCATGAGGAATAATACATCCAGCTTTGTTGTACTTCTAAAGATTGTTTTGGTTATTGGGGATCTTTTCTCTTTCCATAAAAATTTAAGAAATATTTGTTCTAGTTCTGTGGAAAATGTTATTGGTATTTTGATAGGGATTGCATTGAATCTGTAGCTTGCCTTGGGTAGTATGGTCATTTTAACATTAATTCTTCCAATCCATGAGCATGGCATATCTTTCTATTTGGTTCATCTCTAATTTCTTTTATTAATATCTTACAGTTTTCTGAATACAAGTCTTTTACCTCCTTGTTTAGATTCATTCCTAGGTATTTTATTCTTTTTGATGCAATTGTAAATGGGATTGTCTTCTTAACTTCTCTTTCTGATATTTCATTATTATTGTATATAAAAGCAAGATATTTCTATACATTAATTTTGTATTCTGCAAATTTACTGAATTCATTTGTTACTTCTAATATTTTTTTTGGCATCTTAGGAATGTTTATATAGAGTATCACGTCATTTGCAAATAGTGAAAGTTTTACTTCTTTCTTTCCTATTTGAATTCTGTTTAGTTCCTTTTCTTGTTTGATTTCTGTATCTAGGACTTTCAGTACTATATGGGACATCTTCATCTTGTTCCTTACGTTATATTAGAGGAGAAATTTCAGCTTTTCATCATTGAGTATGTGAGCCCCCTCTGGTGGATGAGTAAGCTCCCCAGTGCTAACAGACTAAAGGGAGGACTCCAAAATGGCACTTGTAAGCACCAGTGACCTTGTGGTAGAACAAGCTCCAAAAAAATGAAGCTGCCAGCATCTTTGTCCCCAGAGGGGAGTTCCAGTTGCTTTTTGCTTCTCCAAGATCAGCAAGTGGATCCTTTCAAATTACTGCTTCTGCACTGGGTCTCGGAGCTGGTGAGACTGCGTGTGCCCTTTAAGAGTGGAGTCTTCGTTTCCTAGAGCCCTCTGGTTCTCCCATATGCAAACCCTGCTGGCCTCCAAAGCTGGATATTTTGTAGACTTATCTTCCTGGTGCGGGAAAGCCTGAAGTGGGGCTCACACCCCTTGCTCCTTGGGGAGAACCCCTGTAATTGTGATCATCCTTCCTTTTGTGGGTCATCTGCCCAGGGGTGTGGATCTTGACCCCACTGCATCTTCATCCCTCCTACCTTCTCCTGGTTTCTTTTTATATATATATATATATATATATATATATATATATATATATATATATATATATATATATATTTAACTGTGGAAAATATTTACTGCTAGTTTTCAAGTCATTTTCATCAATGGTTTCTCTGTAAAAAGTTGTAATTTTGGTTTGCCCATGGAGGAGGTGAGCTCAGGGTCCTCCTACTTTGCTATCTTGGTCACTTCCCTGATAACACTGCATTTTTTAATCAAGTAGGATTTTCTTTTATTTTCCCCTACATCTTAAAAATATTCTATTTTAATTTACAATTTATTTTCAGTAAGAGTCTCAAGGGATATCACCATCACTCTCATCAGTCATAATATTTAATATTTTTAGTTTGATTTTATATTACATGTTCAGGAATCTGAACCAGCAGAGAAAACTTTTGAGGGGAGAAACCTTTAATGTGGAACTATTTTTCAGATTTCACTATAAGCCTACTTTGTATAGGACTTGGGGAGTCAGAGTTCTCCTTAGTGGTAGGGATATCTTTGTAATCCCTACCAGTCATTAATATAAAAAATTTACCTTGCATCTCTTATGTGTCTGAGTCTGGAAATAGTGGATGAAACAAGGAAAATATGGTTCTTACTTTCATAATTTATACTGAATTGAAAATATGCTGGGAAAGTTCAACCCAATGAGATGTAATAAAAATAACTAACATTATTTAGCAGTATTTAGCATTATTGTTAACTTGTTTAGCATTTATCAAAGGCATGGCCAAAACCATATATTTCTGCTCACATCTCTCTGATACAAGTACTATGATTATCCTATTTTAAGGAAGACCACTGATGCTCAGAAGACTTAAATACTGGCTCAAGTCAAATATTTAAGAATTAGAATCAAATCTGGATCTTGAGCCCAAAGTTACCTGAATCCAAATTTCAGTTCTTGATGCATCTTTGTCTTGTCCCCCTAAAGAATACAGATGAGAAAACCCAGTATAGATTGTTGTGGTCAGGGAAAGTTCTGCTTGTTAGAGAATTTCTGGGGCTCTGTACAGTGGGCAAGGCCAGAATTTATACATTTTTTAAATAAACAGGGAGACTAAAGCAAATTCTGTGTCATCAGAGCAACAAAAAGGGAGTGACTGAACCAGAAACAGAGATAGGGAATGAGATGGACAATGTCAGGACAGAACAGGCGTGTAGGTGAGTATGGAAAACAGGTTACCCAAGTTCTGAGTCAAAACCAGGTTGACACAGAGCAAAGCCATGTCTGCCAGCCTGGATGGTATATATCTGACAAAGCTGTTGATAAGTGTGTTATGATAGCTTTCCCATAGTCACAGCACTTTAAGGAAGCAGCCAGGTGTCATCCACGTGATCCTACCCAATGTAATTCATCTCGGTGAAGCCCTGTCCTGCAACACTGGTGGATTACCCAACCCTCAACATAACCATCCTCCATTCTATATTTAATAGAATCAGAAACTTTGGGAAATTACTATTCTCTGTTAGAAAAGGCCTTTCCTTTGTCTTCATACCTGAGATTTCCTACATGAAGCTGAACATTTTCACACTTTTTAGATTCCATTTTCTAGGTCCAGTGTTAGTTCCAGCCATTGTGTCTTGCTCACCACTATGGTGTTAGATGGAAACATTTGGTTTAGTGAAAAGAATTCTTTCTCTTATTAGCCCTTTCTTTCAAGGACATCAAGGATAATACCAATAGTTACAAGATCATCATAACAAAAATCATTCTCATTTCTGTAACAATTCATGCTCTATTCAAGGTGTTTTCACAGTCCTAATTACCTTTCTTTGTTTTGACTGAGAGGTAACAAGGAATGGCTATGGATAAATGATCACATTAGCATTAGACATTGGAAGTTCCAGAGCCAGCCCCACTACAAATTAGCCATTTATCATTTAGTGATTCTAGCAATTTTCTTTTCTGCAAAATTGTGACTCATTCCTGCCTAGCTCATCTGCTTTCATGAAAACCAAAGATGTACACTAAGCATATTTGGGTAGCACAGCACTTAAACATGGGCCCTGAAGTCAAATTGTTTAGATTCAGTTCCTAGCTCCCTTATTATCTTTAAATCCATAGACAAGTTAATTATTCACTCTAATCCACATTTCCCTATCTGTGAAATGGAGATAATGTTAGTGCCTCTATTATTGGGTTGTTGTGAGATAATACCTTAAACGAATTTAACACAATGTCAGTTACATAGAAAGAGGTTAATAAATATTATTTATAAAATGCTATGTAAAGGTAACTGCTTAATAATTTTAATCATGACCAAAATCTCAAATGGAAAAATAGAAATCTTAATTCATATAAGTATACCAAGACATTAAATGACATATGTAAAGTCATAGTTAATCATAACACCTATTTTCTTACCCTCTTGAGACTTTAATATATTTATCTTAATAACATTAAAAAAAAAGGAATCATCTCTACCTATTATTTTGAAATACTTAACATTTGCCAGGCATTATATTAAGTGCTTTCTATGCATTATCTTGTTGGATTCTCATAACAGTCCTGAATATGGACTCCATGTTTCCTCCACTTTACAGATAAGGAGATTGAATATTTGAAAAGTTAACAACTTCCTGAATAATAGACCCACTTTTTTGTGGGGGAAGGGATGAACAGAGACCTTCACTGTTAATTACCCATGATGCTATACTACCTCTCACAATGCAGTATTGCCAGAATAATAGTATTTGTTGATCAATTATTCTCCGTTTATTCCCACAATAAATTAAATAATCTCTAATATTTCATCCAATGATGTACTATCAAATGCTATGGAGGGAGAAGGGAAAGAGGTATTGAGTATGTACAAGGAGATGGGAAATTAATATTTATTGAGTTCCTACTCTGTACCAAACAAGACACACATTATCTCATTTAATCCTCACAATAGTTTATGAGTTAGATATTAGTATACATATTTTTCACATGAAGAAGATAAACAACAGAAATCGTTAACTATAATATCCAAAGTCAAATAGCAAAGAACTAGCTGTTTAATTACCAAGAGCACTTTCACATGCTCTCAAGGCTGTGGTCTAGGTATGGATATAATCATATGTACATGAAAGGTAACAGCATATCATAACACATACTAAGTGCCACTTGAATGGCTAGGCATAGTGTTATTGAACCTCAAAGTAAAGAGTTTTGAAGGCTGAAGTGTCAGAGCAGACATCCCAGAGGAGGAAATGAATGACCTAAGTTGTAAGGGAAGACTTAGTGTGTCTACATACAAAAGAAGAGGCAGAGAATGTGGATTCTATCTGGTTCCAAATGAACTTGGGCAGGACCAGCTGACTCATGGCAGTAGATCTGTCTCAATCATGATTGTGCCCACAATCAACCAGGCACAATCAGTGATCAATAAATGGTTGTTGAATGGCTAGGAATGTCATCTCTG